ATCGTGGTGCTGGAAGGGGCCAGCCTGGAGACAGTCAAGGTGGCTTGGACGCGGGGGTGAGGGCGAGGGGCCTGGGCGCGGAGACAGCGAGACGCGGCAGGCTCTCGGCGGAGGGCGTCCCGGGTGGCGGCTTGGCTTTCGGGCCCGCGTTGGGCCCGCTCCCCCCCTCGCCGCCCGCTCCCAGCGGGCTGGCTGGGATTCTGTGCTGTGCACTCAGCCGAGGGCCCCGTTCGTCCGTCGCGGGCCACGTTTCCGGGCAGACGAGAAGCGCGTCGCCGCAGCCTCGTCTGCGCACCTTTCGTTCGTGAGGGTCAGGGTCAGGGTCAGGGTCTCACCTCGTTAAGTCATGTCCGCTGGTCGCCCCCCGTATGCGCCGTAAGTCTAGACCGGGTTATCGTGTCACGCTTGTGCGTCTGTGTCTTTACCCATCGTTCGCCCTTGCTTCGACGTGGCACGACCGCCGTGGTCACAGGCCCTCTGGCTTTCTCTTGCCCTTTAGAGCGACACCTATTCAGTGAACAGGCCCAGAAGAAACAGAGGGTTGGAAGTCAGACCTGGATTTTAATCTTGGTTCTCACACTTAAGTGTGAGAATTTTGAGAAAGCAAGTTTGTTCTGAATTTGTAAAGTGGGAATGTCTTAACTGTGAGCCACACACAGGTCACTGCAGTGTCACTTCTTAAAAAAAGTGTCCCTTTGAAAGTAGTTCGTTTTCGCAAAAACCTAAGGTAAGGTTCTTTCGCATCTGTTAATTCTCAACCGCGGTGGCACCCTTAAGCTTGCAGTCTGGAAAACTTGTCTTTTAAACGAGTTAATCAGGTCTCTTACTTTTTCTTGTAACTTATAGCTTAGTTGTAGGCTTTTATACTCATTCCTCAAGCAACATTCATTGCCTTTCTAGCCTGTTAACTCTGAATGTTAATTTTTGACATGTCATGTCAGCTATATATAGCAGTTCTAACTGTATACATAACTGTAACTCGCACACATGAAAAGTATGTCTGTGTCAGTAGAGCAGAGTGGTTGAGAATGTAGACCGACTTACTAGACTGCCTGGGTTCAGATCCCTTCTACCTACTAACTGTGTGACCTTAGGCAAGTCACTCAACCACTTAGCTTCTTCATTGTATTCCATAGGGATAATAATAGTACCTACCTTACTGGGATGTTAGAAGAATTAAATAAGTTAATGTGTGTAAAGTGAGCCAGGCTTGGTGGCTCAGCCTGTAATCCCAGCACTTTGGGAGGCTGAGGCAAGTGGATTGCCTGAGCCCGTGAGTTCGAGACTCACCTGGGTAACTTGGCAAGACCTCGTCTCTACAATAAATCAAAAAAACTAGCCGGGCGTGGTAGCGTGAGTAGTTCCAAGTAGTAGTTCCAGCTACTTGGAAGGCTGAGGCGTAAGGATCACCGGAGCCCAGCAGGTCGAGGCTGTGGTGGCCAGGAGTGTGCCAACGCCCTCCAGCCTGGGTGACAGAGTGAGACTCCAACTCAAAAAACAAAAAAACAAAACAAAAAAATGTGTAAAGTGCTCAGGAAAATGTCTGGCACTTGGAGTTATTTTTTTCAAGTCATTTGTTAAGTTGGAGTGCGGTGTGGTGGCTCACACCTGTAATCCTAGCATTTTGGGAGGCTGAGGCGAGGGGCTGCCTAAGCCCAGGGGTTCAAGATCAGCCTGGGCAACATGGCGAGATCTTGTCTCTACAATAAATCGAAAATTTAGCCGGCGTGGTGGCACACATCTGGGGTTCCAGCTACTTGGAAGGCTGCGGTGGAAGGACCACCTGAGTCCAGCAGGTCGAGGCCATGGTGGCCATGAGCATGCCACTGCCTTCCAGCCTGGGCAATAGAGTGGAACTCAACTCAGAAAGTTGGAAAGGTCATGGCCAAATGAAAATTCCTAGAGTATGCTCTGGGAGAACTTTGGGCAAGTTGTCATCTGTGGTACGTCCATGGTGATGGAATGCCAGCTGGCTGACGTCTTCATGGGACTGAACTGTTGATCTCTAGTCCTCGTCCCGGTACCCCTTGCCCCACCAGCCTTCTCGGGTCTGCCTTCTCCACATCCTCCTCACACTCCAGCCTCGCTGGAGTCTGCTTTGAATCCTTTGGGAACGCTGTCTTCTCTCATACCTCAAGACCATTGTGTATGTTGTTCTCTGACCAGCTGTGCTTACTCAGCTCCCTGTCTCACTAATTCCTGTTATCTGTTTACTCATTGAATGCTGAGTTTTTGTTATGCTTTTCATTCTCTAATTATTAGGTTAAATATTACTTCCTGAGAACAGCAATCCCTGGTATAAAGTGGGCCCAGTCTGAGTTTTCACGTAATGGCTTGCTGCTTGTCCCTATGTTGGCAGAGAATAGGGTTTTAAAAATTCTTTCCTGTAGTTCCATACCTTGTATAGTCATGACACATGGAATTTAGTCTGATCATTCTGGTTTGTGGTTTTCATGCTTATTAACCACAACCCACAATAAAAAGTTCTGTTGTGAGCCAGTATAGACATTCAACTATGTGAAACCAAAAGTTTTATAAACCATTACCTAACCATTACTATATGAAGTAGCCTGACATTTTCTATTCTATTTCATTAAAAGAACAAAAGTCCTAGCCGGGCTTGGTGACTCAGCCTGTAATCCTCCGCCTTCGGGAGGCTGAGGTGAGTGGATTGCCTGAGCCCATGGGTTCGAGATCTGCCTGGGCAACTTGGCAAGACCTCATCTCTACAA